GCCTTCACGACATGGCGGCGGCGACAACAATACTACAGCGAGAATAAAGGTTACGCCTTCTTTCTTTGCGTGAACGTTTGGGCGGCGTTATGCAAATCTTCTCACATCGTGACGTAGACATGTGGGGTGTGTTAGAACGAGCCGTTTTAGGTAGGCGTGGTTGACTCTTAACTTTTATAAAGAATATTTTTTTGGATTTGAGACTTTAGTCTTTGCAACTTTACAGATCTTCTTTATGCACCAAGAGCTTGTAACACTCCAAAGAGAAAGGAAAAATTGAAATCGCATCATATGACCCCTTTAAAAAAGATGGGTCACTGGCTTGAAAGATTGTCCTGTATCATTTACAGCATTATGGTGCAGTAACATTAGTGAAATTGCAGCAAAATTTCACAAGCAAAAAAGGTCAAATTTCTACTGTCAACAGCATAAAGATGTATGAAGCACAAAGACATCACTTTCAAACCAAGCAGCTTTCTGTTTGTCAACATGGTGAACTCATGTGACCAACTTAAAAATGAGTGAAACCTGCATGGGCAGAGTTTTTCGTCCTCGTATGAAACTCCTAAATGTGAAGATTCCTATCGGAATGACAGGATTTTGCACACAAAATTTAGCAGAGTAATAGTAAATGTGGTAAATGTTCTCTAAATTAAAAGTGGACATTCTCCAAGAAAAATGGACATTATAACTGAAATAATCAAAATGAATGGCAATGAATCAAATGGATTCGAAAGCAGAATCGAATACAGTGCTGGTGAATCAGCACTGAATCTGCAAAAATTAATACACAGTCCAAATAGCTATTTCTATCATCCAGTGAAAGTTTTGTTTAAAGTACACTATCGTTCAAAAGTTTGGAGTCTGTAAGGTTTATTAATGTTTTTGATAGAAATCTTTTATGCTCATCAAGGCTAAATTTATTTGATCAAAAATACAATAAAACTAGCAATATTGTGAAATAGTATTACTTATAATTTATCATTTCAAAAACCTTTTTCTACTGTAGTATTTTAAAAAAGTGATTTATTCCTGTGTTGGCAAAGCAGAATTTCAGCATCATTACTCCAGTCTTCAGTGTCACATGATCCTTCAGAAATCATTCTAGTATACTGATTCAGCGCTCAAGAAATATTATTATTATCAATTTTGAAAACAGTAAGTTGTTCAGCTTAATATTTTTCAGAATTCCTTGATTAATAGAAAGTTCAAAATATTTTTTTAATAGTATAAACAAATTACAAATTACTTT